TGAACCGAAGTCTCTTTTGACACCTGTCACCATCAAGGATACTAGTGCTGGGCCTATCATTGCTCTGCTTTCAAATACATTCAGTGTTAAGGCGGGAAATGATCTGAAGATTGATGTTCCTTTCAAGGCTGTCCCAGTACCAACAGTAGTCTGGAAAAAAGATGGTAACATTCTGAAAGAGACTAGCAGAGTAAATGTGCACACATCAGATACATCATCCCAGCTCATTCTCAAGGATGGAACTAAGATGGATGTGGGCCACTATGAGGTGACTCTCACAAACTCTGCAGGAAACACATCAGCTGAAATTATTGTAAATGTTTTCGAGAGACCTGGACCCCCAAGTGAACTTAATCTGGATGAAGTCAGCGCTGACTTTGTTTCTTTGTCTTGGGGGCCACCATTTTATAATGGAGGATCTCAAATCACTAATTATGTTGTTAAAAAGAGAGATACGGGAAGTGCAGCGTGGCAGACTGTGTCAGCAACTGTGGCAAGAACAAACATCAAAATTTGCCGTCTGACTCAGGGTGTTGAATATCAGTTTTGTGTTGCAGCTGAGAATCGCTATGGCACTAGTCAGTACATTGAAACAGAACCTGTTGTTGCCCAGTATCCCTTCAACCCTCCTGGTTCACCAACCAATGTTCGAGTTGTGCAGGCCTCAAAGTCTGCAGTGGTCGTTGCTTGGTGCAAACCAGATAATGATGGTGGCAGTTGTATCACTGGGTATCATATTGAAAGTAAGGATCAAAACAGCATTCTGTGGACAAAGTTAAACAGGAGTCCAGTGACCGAGAATCAGTTCAAAGTAACAAGTGTTGAAGAGGGTCTTGTGTATGAATTCAGGGTTTATGCTGAGAACATGGCAGGTGTTGGTCTCTGCAGCAACACATCTGACTCAGTGGCAGCACGTGATCAGTGTGAGCCTCCACAAAACCTCACAGTTACCAATATAACTAATAGTTCAGTTTCCCTCTCATGGGATAAACCAGAATATGACGGTGGAGCTAAAATAATTGGGTACATTGTTGAGCGGCAAGAGGAGCCAGGTAGTTGCTGGCTGAAGTGTAACTTTACCAACTTACTAGACACCTACCTGGAAGTGGCTGGGCTCACAGAAGGTGAGCAGTATGTTTTTCGTGTTATTGCAAAGAATTCTGGTGAGCTTTTCAGTGCTCCATCGGAAACCACAGGACCTATTACAGTACAGCACGATGTTGAGCCTCCCAAAATTATGCTGGAGGACAAACTTAAACAAGTGGTAGTTGTGAAAGCAGGAGAATTTCTAAGACTAGATGCTGAAATCTCTGGTCGCCCCAACCCTACAGTGTTTTGGTTGAAGAATGGTAGAAATATTGGCTCTAAAGGCAGAATTGAGATAACGGCGACACGTTCACACACATCTCTGCTTATCCGAGAATGTGTTAGGAAGGATTCTGGACAGTACACTCTGACCCTTCAGAACACAGCTGGGTCCACTTCTAAAATTATAACTTGTAAGGTCCTTGACAGACCGGGTCCACCGGCTGGGGCATTAGGAGTGTCTGGACTCTCAGCAGAGAAATGCACCCTGTCATGGGGACCCCCACACGAGGACGGTGGTGCTGAGATCATGCACTATATTGTTGAGAAATGCGAAACCAGTCGTGTTGCCTGGACACTGGTATACAGTGATATGATGGCAACTACTTGTAAGATAACGAAGCTGCTCAAAGGAAATGAATACCTTTTCAGAGTGAGGGCAGTGAACAAATATGGGGAGGGTGAGAATTTAGAAAGTGAGCCAGTCAGAGCCACAGATCCCTTTACTCTTCCATCACCTCCGATGGATGTCGAGGTCACAAGTGCAACCAGTGAAGCTATGACAGTTTGTTGGAAGAGACCTACATCAGATGGTGGCAGCCGTATCTGTGGCTACGTAGTTGAAAAAAGGGAAAAGCAGGGTGTTCGATGGGTACGGGTAAATAAAAAGCCAGTGTATGACTTGAGAGTAAAAGCCACCGGTTTGCATGAGGGATGTGAGTATGAATTCAGAGTTTTTGCCGAGAACGCTGCTGGACTAAGTGAACCCAGTCTCCCTTGCCCGCTAACCTTGGCAGAGGATCCAAAGTTTCTACCATCCCCTCCTGCAAAACCCACCATTGTTGACTCAACCCGGTCCTCTATCACCCTCTCATGGAACAAACCGCTGTTTGATGGAGGAGCAACAGTCACAGGATATAAAGTAGAATTCAGAAAATTGACAGAAGAAGATTGGACTGTTGCTATTCACAACACAGATACAACAGAGTTTACAGTGACAGGACTTACATCTGGCACTGAGTATGTTTTTGTTGTGAGATCCATTAATAAGATTGGTATCAGTGACCCCAGTCCAGAAACCGATCCTTATGTTGCCACTGAACGAGAGGAAGTGCCCACATTTGATGTTAGCCCTGAGATGAGGAAGATGCTACTTGTTAAAGAAAGTAGCTCCTTCACTTTGACTGTTCCGTTTACAGGCAAACCTGTACCTACTGCATTGTGGGAGAAAGCAGACGTTGATCTAAGAGTCAGAGGTCTAATCAACACTACCAGCTCTGCCACTTCTCTAACAGTAGAACGTGCAACCCGCGAAGACTCTGGCAAATACACAGTCAAACTGCAAAATGTTGTTGGATCTGCCTCACTGACATTAAGTGTAAGGGTTTTGGATACTCCCGGACCACCAAGTCGAATTGTAGTTAAGGATGTGACCAAGAACTCTGCTACCGTTACCTGGGACATCCCTGAGAATGAGGGAGGAGCAGCTGTCAAGAACTACCTTGTGGATATACGGGACCTCAGTAGATTAGGGTGGACAAGACTTGCAGATAAATGTCGCAAACTGTCCTACAAAGTGTCTGATTTGGAGGAGGGAGGAATCTACTTTTTTAGAGTGACTGGAGAAAATGAGTATGGTATCGGTGTTCCAGCAGAGACCAGGGAAGGGACAAAAATGACAGGTATGAGTTCTAATAACTGATTAACACATAAATATTTGTCATATGTATTCATCTTAAGAAATACCAGTAATATTATAACTATGAGAGTAAAAAGAAACAGATATTTTGCTTACTGTATTACACACAGTCTAAATGTGTTCTGAAAAACATTAAATACATTAAATCTAAACTAAAGCTATATTTATGTGACATAATTGGTTAAGTGACTGGTAAATATTAAGTGAAATTCTGTTTTCTTTGCATTACAGATACATTGGTTTTGGAAACAAATCCAGGAGCTTAGCATGTCAGGACCTGTGAAACTGATCCTTCATTCTGATGCCTTATTCTAAGAGATCTTTATGGTTTCATAATTTGACAGGGGTTTATAATTTTTTTAAGTGCCCTTTTATAGAGGTTATTACTTTTTATAGACTTAATAATTGACAATGCCGTAAATCTCATTTGAGTTTAGTTGTGGGAAAGAGATGCATGGATTAAACCTTTTACTTAAAAATGCACTTGCTTGAGAAAAACATTGGTTTCTCCTATGACAATAAAGGTTTGTCATGTTTTATCATAAGACTCAGCTAGTATTAAAGTGTTGTAACATGTTTGTCACATATCTAATGTCTTACATACAACATAAAAGTACAATACAAATACATTCCTTGTTATAGATGTTGACAGATGTTAAAATGGTAAAATTAGCAAATGGTACTGTGTTTTATTTTAGAGTTATTAAATTTACTATAGATTTTAGGCAGTGCTAAAAGTAATCAATAATAAAACATAGACTAAAATGAATGAACATCCTTTTATTGTCTGCAGCCACATATATCATGCACATGTTTTTAGCATGTTTTTTTGTTTGTTTAGCATGTACCCGTCATAGTTGTATTAATTTTTTAAAGTAGTAGTTTTTAAAGGGCATCTTTAGACCCTGCAAGCACATGCCAGTTAAACAACCAGGGGGCGGTTAGTCCCCCCTTCCCTCTGTCTCTCTATTCTGTAGATGAGGTAAGTTTAATTTATACAAAGTCCATATTTTTAATAAATAAATACATTTTAACAGTTTATCTAATAACGTATGCTTTCACTTTAATAAAAGTATCGCATTTAATTGAGTTTTATTGATATACAATAACCGAGTTTTAATACTGAAGCTGAGTTTTTCCCCCTGCAAACTCTTACATTACATTTGCTAAGTAAGACGTATTTAAAAGAAAAGGACGATGTTTATTCCCTTCTATTCTGAGCAAAGTCCACATCAATGATTACCCAGCTGTCCAACTTGTGTTTATGAGCGCGTCACTATGGAGTGACGTAACTGGATACAGGAAACCAGAAGTGAGCGAAACAAAGCAACTTGTTGACTAACAGTTCTATGAAGTACGGTATATGTTTGAGACGTACTTTCCAATATGGGGACTGCAACAAGTAAACTTCGAAAGGATTTACTCTCGGAATATCAAGTAAGTACACCGATCAATGTTACCTACCCCGTCATACATACCGTTCGTTTTTGGGCTCGACGTTTCGTGTGGCCAGAGTTGGAATCTCCTTTGACGCCCAATTAAACACACAGGTAAAACAGTTCCTTGACAAGTTAACGATTGAAGTCAAGTTAAAACAAATTACCTGGTGGGTTGTAGTCGTTAAAGTTGCATTTAAACATACTATCTATCTTTAATCACATTGCTCGCAAAGTAAAAGCTAATAATGGTGTTCATATCCGACACTAAAGCCGTGTGTGGTGTGACGTCATGGCTATAAGAAAAATTGTGTTAGAATAAATTGTGAAAAGGTAAATAGCAACACGAACTTAAAAGAAAGGTACTTATGTCAATACGACAAAGGACAAAAACGACGTACAAACATTGGGGTACAGTACTTGGCTTTTACACAAGTGTAACTCGTAAGCCGGAAGGCTTTAACCATACTACCAAATTAAAAGATATGGTTGATAGATGATAGAAAACGAATAAAAATAAAAAATAAAAAAAAAAACAAGGTCACGCATCAACAAAAAGCGGATATGGATAGAACTTAAACAAACCAACAAAACAGTAAACAAATAAAACATCTAAACTAAAGTAGCATAAAGAGTAGTTTGGTCATTAGTATATCAGATAACTGTAGCTTATAATGGCTAAAACAAAAATATTTATCTAGAATGTTTTGTCCAAAATCAACAAACATGTCAGTGAATAAAGTAATGTAATAAAGAAATATGGTAATGTGTCTTTAGTAAACCAATCATTTAAACAATTAAAAAAATAAACAAAATGGAAATAAAATCATCATTTACGTAGAATATCCGCAGCCAGGATTAACCAATACAGTAGCAGCAAGTAAATGGTTTTGGGTATTTTTTTTCTTCATTTTTTTGCTGTATATACAATGAATACATGGAACAACAATTCACGTTTTTTGTAAACATTGGAACAGCTAAAATGCAAACAAAGCCTAATATGTAGTTGGTAATTTACCTTTTTAGTTAAAACACAAAAGGTTACATGATTTTGCCCAAAAGCATAATTCTTCTCACAAAAGGAAAGAAACTGAGGCAATGGAAAAGAGATTACCGTGCCATAAATACAAAAACAATAATCCATACAATTGTTTTCTCACAGGAACTGACCTTCTTGACTAAGCAAGAAATTCTACTGTAAGTGTTTAGTTTTCTTGTAGATTACAACAGGTTACTTGTTTGGTCTATCCTTCCACTATTAAACATTTTCTCTTTTTGTATGGCACAGCGCTCACAAGAGATTTACTGAACTGCTCACCAAAGATGAGAAAGACATTCCAAATGCGAGAATTCCAATGGAGAGGATTCTAACTCTGCCAGAACTCAAGGTAAAGTGAATTTAAAATATAAAACATGAGAAATGGGGCACACAGATTAAACTTATAGTTTTCTGTACACCTGAATTGCTTTACCCAGAATGCCCTGTCCCTTGTGTAATCAGTAAGAAATGCTTTAGAGTCATTAAACCATCAAATCTTTTCTTGCAGTCCAACCCTTTCAGAGAAAGAATCTGCCATGTATTTTCATCGTCTACACCTAAAGATGGAAGCCTCACATTTGAAGACTTTTTGGATCTTTTAAGTGCATTCAGTGACTCTGCTACCCTGGAAATTAAGTCCCACTATGCATTTCGTATATTTGGTAAGTACAATTATTCCAGTCCTGGAGCTAGTTGTTAGTACTAAATGATAAACTTCTAATGTGTTCACCTTATGTATTATTTTAGACTTTGACGATGATGGAACCCTTGATTCCAATGACCTGGAGCTGTTGGTTAACTGTCTGACTGGAGAAACTGATGACACTAGACTAACTCCAGAGGAAATGCAGCAACTCATCAAAAATGTGAGCCATGTGAAACACTACCTATTTCTCTGTTATAGCTATTCCATCTTATGTATACTGACTACGATGATTATTCCCTCTTTAGATTCTCGAAGAGTCAGACATTGACAAGGATGGAACGGTCAACCTATCAGAGTTTCAGCACGTAATTTCACGGTCACCGGATTTCATCAGGTGGGTAAAATAATTATATTGTACAGTAAACACAGTACCTGGATGTATTTAAAATACTATTTCCATTTCTCTGCAGTTCTTTTAAGATTGTACTTTGAGGACCTCAAAGAGACTGAAGAAATTGCTGACTATTCTTATTGTGTGAATTTTTAATCTGAACAATTTTTAAATATATCCAATGTGTATTGTATTTTATCAACATAACTGTTTTTATTATGCTTTTTTGAAATTCAAAATGCTTTTTAATATGTTAAAAAAATTAAAGACATACACAACAATGCTGCTTTTACATTTGTTTTAATGTATTATGTCGTAATAGTTTAACTTTTTGCATTGTCCAAAGATAAGAGATTATTGTGTAAGGAAGGAATTCCATTATTTTAAGAGCAAGATAATTCCTCTTTAATGGCAGCAGCAAATGTGTTCCATGTTCCACACACCACTTCAACAACACGCAGCTGTTGCTCCTTGAAGAATTCCACTCGCTGGGGCTCATCTGAACTCATCAATGTCTGGTGTCCAAGTTGGCCATATTCCCCTGATTTTGTTATAAGTGGCACAAAAGAAAAAAAGAAATAATTAAGTCTTCTTCACTCTGTCTAATTTTTTGCAATAAAAATTCAAGATTTAATTTTACAATGGCACTTTTTTTATCCTTAGTTTGTAAAGTTTTCATTAAGGTATTTTAATGAGCTATATTTAGGTCAAAACATGCACTCACCCCAACCCCAAGTGTAGAGGTCACCCGTAGCTGAAAGAAAAATATGAAATTCAAAGGTTTATACAACTCAATGAGTCATACAAACATTGTCTGGAGACATTGTCCTCACTTGTCACAGCTGCTGTGTGCCGAGAGCCGCAACTCACTGCTTTAATTTCACAGGACGGAGTGACATCCAGCAAGGCTGGAAACGCCTGGATGGATATGAAGAACTCCTTCAGTTTTTCTACCTCTTGTAATTCTTCCTCAGAAGATTTGACTTCTTGGCCCAAGTTTCCTGTTGTGGAGTTGATAAACCTGAAGTTAAACTCCTCAAGAGACTACAGTGTATCATTTTATAGTTAAAATGCATTTGAAACGTAACATATTTGAAACGTTAATGGCTACTCCATTGGGGCTTACGTTCTTATTATTACTAACTTGGAGTGCTGATATTCAAAATGCTGCCTAACTACCTGGCTTGTACTTCCATCATCGTGATAAGTAATAACCACAGCCCAGGGACTCCAGAACCCTTATTTTAGAATAATTTTGGTTGGTTGCTTAAAATACTAAGTGACCCACGGCGGCTGCTGAAAAAAGTCTCACACGTGACACATGAAAAGAAACACTACCCTGAGAACTAACATTAAATATGACTTACTGTATTTGTTCGATACAAAATATTACCCATTTTAGTGATGGCTCAATTTGATAAAGGATCGAACATTGGAATAGAACAACTATAGTCTGTCCGATCCGACACCTAGACCTAAATGCTTAAATTGACTTTGCGTGACATGGCTTAAACAGGGACACTATCACCTCTGCAACGGCAGCCGGCAGGTGATGTTTGTATCGCCAGATATTGCAGCATCGGTATCGGACATGAAAAATGATATTTTTAAGAGACCTAGGATTATTAATGGCATTATTTTCATTCTTTTGTTATTTTTTCCCACAGTTCTTCAATCATCTAACATAAGGGGCTTTTAAACATAATAAGTGCTATATTCAAGTGCAGCAAGTGGGTCATGTATACCTACAGTATAATGAAGTTTAATTTCTGCGACATGCAGTGTACATTCTACATGTATATTCTTTTCACAGACAAACCTTGTTGGGTGTGTTGGTTCTGCTGCAGTGCTTTTCTAACACCCTGCGATGGTAGCCCGAGCTGACCACTCTCATTCCAGCCCCACACATAAAGGTCACCACCAGCTGTAACAACAAAAGAGATCTTGACTTTTTATTTAGTTTTCTCACTGTTGAGAAAAACTGACAAAACCTTTAAAATTACCACTGATGCACACAGAGTGCCATCCTCCTGTAGCTACAGAGCTCATTGGCATCCCACAGAGCGCCTCCACTGCCCTGGGTTCCTCCTCAGAGGTCAAGCCTCCATGTCCCAACTGACCATGACTACAAAGCACAACAACACTTAATTATTACAATATGAACTATGATCAAATTATAATGAAATAAAATGACGAAATAAAAATGTGTTACCTGCCTAAACCCCAAGTGTACACATCCCCTGTGACACAGAGAAGAAGAGCATGTTCTGCTCCCAGGGCTAAACTTTTGGCTTTCAAACATGGTGACAAGGAGTGATAAAAAGGAGGTTTATTGGTTATGTAACCCCCTGGAACCAATGGCAACTTCAGAGTATGATCTGGTGTAAGGAGATACTGTTGAGAAACAAACTTATGTCATGTTGTCTGTCAGCTTTTTTAAATAGAAAAATCCCTAACCAGACTGGGTGTTGATCTCCATACTCCATTTTGGGGTCGACTCTTTCTTCTGGATGTCCCAGACCTCGACCCTTCCTGGGAAAGTTAGTGTGAGGTGGTATTCACTGATGACAGCATCTGTACATCCACAGGTCTTTGGCCCTGAAACACCGCAGGACTCAACAGAGGTGGCTGTTACAAAGCCAGCCAGGCACACACAGCTGTCTCCTAACAGGGCAAACATAATGCCAGTTAGTTGACTTTGGTCATGTAGGTTTGTCATGTTGATGAGGGTCTGACAACTGCAATGTCTAATTTATTAAGATTTATTAACCATTAAGATTGAAAACCTATTCTTCGAGGTTGTTGTTTTCATTGTTGTTTATCATATTCACAGTAGTAATGAAAGAGGCAAAAAACAGCAAAACACAACTTGTTCAGTGTGTTAACTTTTTTAAGGATAGTAATTTCCTTCCATTGTGCTTTATTTACTGTTTAATTATACTTATCTGTAATGCACCTTGTTTATACAAAGTAACTACTGTCATGATGTTATCTCACTGAATAGCTGGTATTGTTAGCCCTGATCTAAATTGTATTACACGTTTGTTTTTCAAAGCTTTCATAGCTGGCGGTGATGCTTTAAACCTGCTTTCTTTGCTTAAAACTTACCGTCCAAATGCAGAGACGCTCTGCGGCTCCAGCTTGCCCTGATCTCGCCGGGTTTCTTCAGACAACAGCTACTTGTTTCCACATGACTCTTTAGCTCGGTTGGACAGGTCACTTTAACGTCGCTTCCTGCGTCTTCTGTTACTTTTCCATGAACACATATCTGTTCAAACGCGTTGAAACCGAAGCCAAACCAGCGCATTGAAAAAACATCAGCTAAACCACGGTCTTAGCTCCAGCGGAAGCGCACAGCTCTGTTTCCGTCAACACTTTCATACACATCAAGTAGCTGGTGTTCTGCGCACGCGCAACTCTGCAGGCCGTTAAAAAATATTTCATTAAAGAGATAGTTTTTACGTTAAGTTAGGTTATGTCCTGTGTTAACAATGTTAACAAAGGAATGAAAACTTATTAAACACATTGTCTGTTTATACAATGCCAACCACACATTCCTTTATTGTATTTTTAATACTTAATGCTAAACAAATACTTAATGCCTATACATACTCAATAGGCCAGTAGAAAGAATGGTTTAAAAGTATTGTTTTATTCATCAAACTGATATAGAACTGGGATGAAGTGTCCTAATACATAAACAATCATACTGTACAAAACAGGGTCAAAATATGACTGAAATGTCTCAGTATATAACCATAAAAACACAACTACTACAACTGTAGTGTAAACAAGTAAAAATAATAATTGTAAAAACGAATACCATCTATGTTGGTCTTCAAGTGAACTCTGTAAGGAATGACTTTGCTAAGGAATGAAAAGGTGAAAATGTAAATGGAAACTATAGTGAAATTTGTGCTTAGAAAATATATCTTCATATAAATTTACTTTTTTTTTGTTTGAATTAATACTTGTCTTCCATGTAGTCAAACATTTTTGGTTAGGTACCAGGCACATTTCTGTATCAGCTTTCCTGAAAAACTATAATTCCAGGTAGAGGTCTCAATCACAGACTGGACATCAGGCACATCATTGACAACTGCTCGACTTTTACGGTTCCGTTGCTTTATTTCCTTCCCTGTTCCTGATGATGCCGTACTCCACTGCCTTGTCCAGGCAGTCCTGGGCTATCTTTGTAACCTGCTTTGTTGTTTCCTCTCCTCCCTTTGCCAGAACTGTGAGAATCTCCAGGCTTTCACTCTCCATGAGCATCTCAGCCAGACTCTTCTCCGCCTGAATCATATTCTGAACAATGACCACTCCGCGGTGGCGTAGGTCAGGTATTTCACTGAGAAGCAGGGCCTGAATGATCTCCAGCCAGTGGGATGTCTGAGAACAAATGGTGACATGTGACCAGATATAAGAAAACAGTCTTTACTCAATGCAGAGTTAACCAAGGTGTGAGTATAGTGATGGCAGCTGTGGTGAGCCTACCGTTTCTGGAATGCGAGTACAGAGTTCAGGTTGCTCTACAGTCAGCATGGCCAGAGTTCCTGCAGCAGCTTTTCTCAGTCTTTCGTCATCCTCACCGCTGTAGAGGACAAGCAGCTTAAGACGATCATTCCCTGTCGCGAGGTACAGTTTCTGCACCTGAGGACACCGCACATAAACATAGTTACTTTGAAAGTCCTTTACTTTAAATTTAGTGTTAAAGAATGTAAGATTAATAGTGTGGGACTTACTTCTTGGCTTAAAACCAAATTGCACATGCACTCTGTGGCTGAAGCTCGGACCAGATCGTGCTCTTCAAACATATAACCTTCAATTTTTGGAACAGCCTTTTCTTTAATGATCTTTTGTCTGAAGAAAAAAAAGAAGCATTTGCACAAATCTGGTATCACAACGTGAGATTTTTTGTGGTTCGTTGGCAGAGACTGCCTCCTAGTGGCTGACCTGAGTCTTTCACTGATACCAGCCAAATTAGTGAGAGCCATGAGTGCCTCAAAGTTCTGAAGTAATGTGCATTCAAGGCTAAGCAGACTAATGAGTGGGCGCACCACCTCATAGACCTAAAATCACAAAAGGGCAACATTTTAGCAAAGGAGACATTTTAGTTTATTGCGTTAATAAACTAATTTCCAAATGTACTCACCCTTTCTCCTGGAAAGGCCATTCCTGGGTTGGATGTGATTGTTAATTTTGCCAGGGCTTGGGCTGCTTTAACTTTTCCTAGGTCCGTGTTTTCAGATGTCAGTGGAATAAGAGACTGTTGAAGAAGATGGTAAATTTATACAACAAAACAAGAACATGTCAGCTAAGGAAAATAAGTAAATCTATCATACCTTTCCACCACCTTGTGCTACCACTGAGCCTCTGTCTTCCTGTCGTTCCACCAAAGCTAAAAACACCCTGCCATTAAAAGTCGGATTTAGAGATAAGTTATTATTTTTTTAGATTTACATATTAAAAAAATACTGCCACTCCATTACCTAGAAATGCACTCTCTGCATGCCTCTGTGAGGGCTGGGCTCTCTTGTTTAACCATGCAAACCAGTGCAGATACGACACCGGCCTCCAGCAGCTTCACCAGTCGCTTTTCCACATAGGAAGGTGCATCCTTCATTTAAAAGGCAAACACAGGATCTCATGAACCTGGCGTTTATGTAATGGATCATACATACTTTTATAAGAATAACTGAAAAGACAATAATTAAGTGGCAGTTCTGCTGTGCAGAATTACCTTGGGGTGCTCCTCGGGCACATGCTGCTTTGCATATTTGGCCAACTCCACCAGCTGAGGATCTGGCTTTTCAACATCGTAGCTATTGGTGCAATTGACTAACGTAGAGCCCACAGCAAACAGCACCGTCTTATCCTCAGACTAAAAATATTAACAAAAGACAAACTCAGTGTGGTTGTTAATTTTACCCCAAAATATTTCATTAAAAGGGAAGTGCTAAAAACACTTTTGTTAGTAGTTAATTCAACCTTGGCCAGTTCAAACATGGCCTGCAATGCGCTCTTATCTTCAACCAAGTCCTCCTTCACGTCAGCATCAAAGGTGAGGTACGCAAGGCCTTCAATAGACCAACGACGAGAGGTTGGAGGCAGAGACTCATTACAGAGCCACCTAACAGAAAAAAGAATGATGGCTAGTAATGGTGGTCACCTCTAAATCATGATTTATTTTAACATCCAACATACAGTACATACTTCCTGCACTGCTTGGCAAGCTTTAGGGTAGATCCTTCTG